GTGATGGTGTTTGGCCAATGCGTATTTTTCTCAGAGAAGGTTAGCTAACCATGAATGAACAGCTCGATGATCGTGTCAGCGAAGTGTAAGTACATACATGAATTGCGGCAAACGGCTTGGGATGAACGGAGCTAGGGAAGTTTTAGTTGGTCAGTCAGCATTGCTTTACAAAAAAATCGTACAGTCCTCCTTTAATATCTACGAGCGCTGCTTCACTATCCTTCCAACCTTCAAAATCACCGCTGGGCACTGACACACCAACAGACATCCATTCGTCTTCATACGGGGCAAGCCAGGGCGGGGTGCCGACTGCCGACTGCCGAGTGAACTCCTCCGAGACGGCCAGCCCGTCGCCGGAAACAATCTTTTTAGCGGGCAGAATAATGCCTGTCAGGCGGCTGATCGTTGACGCGTCGGCCGGCGACTCCGTCAGCCCGCCCGCAGTGTTCTCGGTAATGAAGTCGACGTCGACAGGCGTCGGCGCATCGGGTCCAGCGGCGGCCAGCGTGTCAGGCCGTCACCAAGTTGAGCAGCGGCGCCGTCGACCGCCGTCGCCACCGTCAGTCACCGGTCACCCGGCCGCCCGGCGATGAGCCGTCTCAATGAGGACTAATGCATTATCGAGCAGTTCTCAGAACTGTACAGAGGTTAGCGGTGTGATGTTTAAAATCGGTCATGTGAGCGGGTTTAAAGGTTATAGCAGCCTGAAAACTTTGACATCCGACACTGGTGCCAGTTTTGAATCTTGGTCCTGTAGTTATACCGTGACAACGTGAGACATGACATGCGGGGTGAGCACGTGGCAGTCAAGTGAGCTGTCCACACATGGAACCAAAAAACTATTCCAAGCCTAGGGTCAGGCGTATCGAAACTTGCGCTCAGAAGATCTGCGTTTCCTCTGGTTTTCATTTCATAATGGATGGTTGTTAAGCCTCTCATTCTGGCTCTAGGCACGTGACTGTCTCATTTGTTACATGCACTTGCAGTAGCTAGTAATGCCGAACGATTAGTGACCTAGCCGCCATAAGGGCTTTTCGTTTCCATTTCGTAATGAAGAATTACCAGTTCTTCCGCATTTGCTGGCATGCGACTTAGTTTCATCATAACTAACACAGTAGCCACAAACATGCCGCCACGATAAAGATCAGCAGAGGCCTCTTGCACCAAAATCATCTTGCACTATAAGATATAATGCTTGAATTATTTTGCATCGTGTACCCAATCCAAGACTCAAATGTGATAATTAGCGTGTAAAATTTACCAAGCACCTGTAGGATTATGTATTGGGCTATTCATGCAAACAAATTTACCACCGTTTGATTAGCTTATTCTGAAACCGGTTTTTCGATTTTACCTAGCTAGGTAGTTTGGTGCAAGAGGCCTCAGATAATGGTATGCCGCTCCCTGACACACACTATATAGCGACGAGTTTGTTCCCTTTGTAGGGTTACGCTCTTTCGCTCTAACCTTTGCACCGTTGAGACCTTTGCATAGCCCGAAGGATGATAAGAATTAAAGGGAGACATTGGTCTGGTCGGGCATCCTGGTGCTCCGCCGGGGCTGGGCCCATCACGTGGACGGGCCACCCAGCCCCGCTAACGGTCACCCTACCGAGCCATGGGCCTGCTCCTGGGGTGGAGCCATCCACGTCAGATGAAGGTAACCGTCCAGCCCGGATCAGGGGTGGAGGTGTGGAGGAGAAGGATTTGACAATTGACTGTCCCGATGACGGAAAATGACGGAACGGTGTGTGTATCTATGAGTTCATGATGGAGATTCCCAGTCATTGCCATTGGAAACTGTTATTGAATTAAATATCGGGAACAACAGAGCTGTCTCTCTTTCCGGGCCTCCAACCATCTCTGTTGGACAAGTACTGATGAAATGGATAATACTAGGGTTACCCGCGTGCTCCGCAACGCGAAGAAGGGTTATTTTGACCCGTGGGTATTGGGTTGGTCTGTGTCGATTTGGTTGGTAGATATCCATTTCGTTCGATTGCTTTTTGACGGCCAAGCATTTTGTAAGAAAACAAAAAGATACATCGCACCGAGGTGCCCGTGTCGTATTATCATCATGCGTTCTACTTTAGAATGATTCGAAAACTGGCGTGAAGTCTTTGAGGGCCATCGATGAATTTCGCTAAAAATGACAATGTAATGGTTTGCAACATTTACATTTTTAAGGATACTGTTGCTAATCATGCAAAAATGAAGAGTGAATATTGGACAGAATTGAATGCTCTATCCAACGGTGCCATTTTTAATTGCCAGAGAAATTAGATCATGGAGCAAAACCCGTGTGATTAATTAAGTGGCACAAAATTGACAAACACCATTTTCTCCCGTGATTTGTAAGACCTTGATTTGGATTAATCAGCTTTTCACAATTTTCTCATGAGAGGCGGTACATTTCTCTTGCCAACAGGCGTTGTTCCAACTCGCTCCATTTAACGGTCACCTAAAAATAAAATTAATTCCAAAATCCCTCAAAAACCGCAATTTTTCAAATAAAAGTACCCTCACGGGTGCACGTGGCACGTGCCATCCTCTGCATCGTACACCATTCGACAGCCCGCTCAATTATCTACACGATGCTGTTTTCCCCGTGCCGGTCGGATCCCTGGTCACCAAGATATTGCGCCGGGACCGGACCCGTGTCGGCCAAAATTAGCCGTTTTCGCCCGATTTCGCACACCAATTTATACATGTAAAGTCTATGACGCGAATTTGCACTTTTTGAGCACGCGCCACGCGCTCCTTATCAATCCGATCGAGCTGAGACCCCTCAAAGGCACGTCGCGCATCCTTGATCTATAAGTTGTGCAAATTTCATCGGGCTAGGTGCAACGGTCTGGCCTGTAGTCCACGCAAAGCACCACCAAGTCGGGACCTCGGTAACGGACAGACGCACCCTCCTCAAATAGTAATATAGATTGGAGGCTGAAGACTGGTGAGTGATCGTACGCGTTAGATAAGGAAACGTGAATTGGTTGTTTTTGAAAATATCACAAATGTAATGAATGATAATATACATATATAATTACTCATGAATGCTCATGAGTTAATTACTCATGTCATTCAATTACATGCTCATTCATTTACCGTCATGGATGATGGGCGTTACATTGATAGACGATGGCGGGTGGTGACTAACAAATTTCTGATGTCTGTTTTTTTTTCTGAAATCGAATTGACGTGCACATGCTGGAAGACAATTATAATCGTAACTTGCAAATGCTTTGAAGGTTGCAAAACTATGCTTGGCTTGGATGTATGATTTGACTAAAAAGAGTGAATTCAGTGGTGTTCGTGCTTTCTTGGAACGACAATGTCAAACAGCAGAAAGCTGCTTATTCTCGAGCGACAAATAATTCAAACAGCAGAAGTCCCTGGGTGAGTCAACAAGTTCGAGGAAATCAACTTCAACTTTCAAAGTTCGCCGAATGTTTTTTTTTTGCGCAAACATGATTCATGTCCGATATTCTTCGTAAATTCCAAGAGATTCAAGGATTATAGCATGTGTTGTCAAGCGATCTGCGGTGTTGATCCTTTTTGGCATGCCTTTTAGCTTCGAACTTTTTGCATGTGCTGCCGTAGAATCTCTGTTGTGTCTGGTAGCCTCACTACAGCGGTCTACCTCACATGAGCTGACGACTTGAGCTGATGTCGCCATCGTACTATCCAATGGCAAACAATAAATTGTCAATGTTTTACTGGCATCAGTACGTAGGCAAATTTCAGGCATAATGGGAATTCTAATTCAAATTGTCAATGAAACCGCAATGCTTGGAAGGAAACCTCTATCCTTGAATTGCCATCATAGTGAAAATGGCTTTAGTAAGATGTCGTTAGGTTTGCTGATGCGATAGCATACTCCCTTTAGTCGTGAGTTGCTGCTGTGGAGGGATTGTGACCGAAAATACCTAGACGGTGGACAACTGGACACCTAATTTCTAAGTAACACCTCTACTCACACTCTTCACGTGGAGTGGCACAACCACCTATTCTACAACATTGACGTCTGTAAGTACTAAGCTACTTACGCTAAACCCTCTCAGCCGCCTTCACCGTTCCATGTCAGTACAGTAATCTCCGTTGATCGCCTCATGAGCCCGGCTCAACTCACTTGATGCTGGCTGCTCCTGAGCCGAGGTCATAGCCGAACTCGAGTCGACCTCCGCTGAGGCGGAGTCCGATGAAGTCGCCGCTGGTCTGCCGCTGACCGGAATAGAGCAGGACGCCGTCGGGTGATCGGGTCAGAAACCAGAGCTCCAGCTCCAGGGATCGGCCCGCGTCCCGCAAAGGACGCAGCTGCAGGTACGAAGAGCCGCCGAAATTCGGCACGAACGGGTCCGATATGTGGTCTGTGCGAGCTGCAAGACAGGAAATAATGACAGGTCACTATATGCACGAGAGTGTGTGGCGGAAAGAAATGATGCCCATCACTGGACTATATGTAGGCTATAGCAGCAACTGACATAAGCAAATGTGTTATTTTTTATGCTGGGAGTTGGCTCTTTTAGCCAGAAAGGCTATTGCAAAGCTATAGTATGAAAGGATAGGGCGGAGACATTGGCTTGTGCGGACCACCGAAGTTGCACCGCAGCGGCAGAGACAGTCCCGGTGAAACGGGAGTGTCCGGATGGGACAGCCCTCCCTGTCGCTCAAACGGTTGCCCTGGAGAGGAAGTGGCCCTGGTGTGGGCCTGTCCTCACCGCCGGTTGTCTAGTGGGGGCGACCGCCTGCCCGGAAAGGGAAGCGTGAGGGGAACTTCGGATGGGTTTGTCCTGAGGCCGGCGAGGATGGATGAGAAAGCACATGAAAATCACAGCTGAATGTTACAATGGTCGAACGAAACGCAGTCATTCGGGCCATCACTCTTTTTTTTTGGGGGGGGGGGGGGAAATAGCACTGGAATGGCACGGGATATTCGTTCTGCAAGGGTAAATACTTGAGCCTTGCTCGCTAAAACGGTGGGCCATCAGTATTCAGCGACAAACTTTGCTAGCATGCAACAAAGAAATGCGACATCAATGCCCGTGCGTTTTTAGTGCTCACCGTAGCTCTGCATGGCTAGTGGTTGTCAGACCTGCCCCTAGATGGCGTTAGACGTGAACGCCTGAATGTGTATACTGTCCCGCAGGACACGTGTTAGCTGAACGGACCGCGCTGTCAGCGTAAGCAGCCGCGTAACGCTGACGAAGCTAAATAAGCACATTCTTTAATTGCGGTAAGTGATCGCAAATGAATGCAATGCTGCAGATCGTGAAATTATCTGCATAGCTCACCTTCCTGACAGCGGTCGCCCCATCTGCCGGGCGGACACAGACACTGCAGTGTGCTGTTCCCAGTACTGGTACAGGTGGCGCCAGCAGCGCAGGCGTCGGAAGCGCTGCACGGGTCGGTAGTCTTCTCACAGTGGTCACCTGGAAACGTGAGCAGAACGAGGTGGAACTTAGATGATGGAGGAGGCACACACGCTGGTTTCTTGTTGAGCCATAGGCTTTACAGGCATGCTTTCACAGGTTTTCAGGAACACGCGTGCATTTTAATCTTCCACATACGAGTAAGGCACTCAACTCAGTCCGTTTTCGGACAAGTGGAAGAACTATCCGTCTGATGATTACTCAACTATCAGGATAAACATGTGACAACCAGCCCGCGATAACACCCTTACCCTCCGCGCCTGCCTGTATCCTCTCTCACCAGTAAAGTGCTGCGCACACTCGCACAGGTAGCGGTGACCGGTGGTGAGCACGCACAGCCCTCCGTTCTGACACGGCTGGCTGGCGCACGGGTCGCTGCGGCACTCGGTGACGCCCCGTGACGAGGTGATATCACGTGACCCGGGCTGCCGGAGGTCAGCTGACGCCGCCCCGCCCACCCGCAGCCGGCGGACACAGCCCACCAGGCCGAACACAGTGCCCGCGTTCTCGTACACTCTGAGGAAGAAGAAAAAAAAAAACGTGAGCAAGTGGCTCAGTACATAAAGCATAAACTTTTATTTTCATATTTACGAACTTGTTTCTCATTTTTTATAGTGGCCAAATTAGTATAGTACCTATACCAAGTTTAGTATGAATGTTATTGAAGTGCATGTTTATTGTTTACCACATACCGAGATATCCCTTTAACATTAGCACGTGCATTTGGGAAATGGCTTCGGCCCGCCTCGGCTAATGTTGAAGGTATTTGGGAAACGATTCGGCCCTAGGGCTTTTTGATTTTCCCAGACAAAGTTTTACTGAATATTCTGAGCGGAAGAACCAATTTCAAAGAAGATATTTACGAATTGTGTGTTCCAGGGCCTCCTCTAACATACCCACTGGGTGGGCAAATGCCCACCCAGTCACCACAATTGCCCACCCAGTGGCGTCGATTTGCCCACCCAGAAGCAAATGCAAAAATTCTGGTCCGGCCGGACGTCCGGTACTACCTTTCTGGTCTTAAGCAAACTAGATGCTGTTTGAAGGTCAAAAAAAGTTTTCTGGTTGCCCGATATTCAGGGGCGTAGCCAGGATTTCCTCAAGGAGGGGGCCAAACGCACAGGGGCCCAAGATAACCCCCTCAAAATCCAAAAAGCCATCTGGTTGCATCCAATATTTTTTGGAGGGGGCCCAAATAAATAGGAAAAAAAATATTTATTAACAAAAATATTAGAACTTAGGGGGTAAGCAGTCCATGGGCCCTGTTAGATAGGCCCACGAATAGCTTCATAGAGTCGCCAGTCGGTTTTGAGGGCGGTCTGAGGGCTCGTAGGTCGGATGAGGGCTGCTCCAAGAATTACAAGGAGGATTGAAGGAGCTCGTGGTGTCATGAATGTACCATTTGCGCGGGTCGACACTATGAAAGGTTCGCTTTTTGTTAGGGCACCCACTATCATAAATGAATTTATGTTCGAGATAACAGATTTGGATTTGTTTCACGACTCAATGCGGGATGTTCGGGCTAAAGTAAGACGACATATACAAAACATGTGAGTCCTGGTGTGTACCGCGTGACTGTATTTATTGTGTTATACATGTACTGTATGGACTGTGTGATAGATATGGTTGGTATATCGAGGGATTGTATGTGTAAGAGACGAAAGACTAAAGGCAATGTTTACACTGCTCCGAACGTATAACTGCTATGGACTGTTACTGGGCGTCAATTCGCCTGTTGTTCCATGACATCGAATAAATAAATAAATAAATAAATAAGCAAGAATCATTACCGGTTCGGGTAGCCTTTCCTACAATGTATTATGTTAGTTAGCCCTCGCCCGATGAGGGGGGTTGATGCACCCCCCTAAGGTTTTTCACAAATAACGTAAAAACGGCGGCGCTCAAATTTCGCATACCCTCTGGGGCAACCTTTTGGCACTTGTCCTGAAAATTTCAGGTCTCTAGTCTTTTCAGGTCAGGTCACCAGGTCACAAACCCGGTACAAGGTCAGGGGAAAATTGGACTAACAGTTTAGCGGCAACCGAATGCCAGAGTTTTTCGTTGATAGCGTGAGTTCTATAGCACGTAGCGCTACCAAATTTAAGACACGACTTGGAGCATCTGTTTGTCACTTGGCCTTGGAGTTTTAGGTTCCAGTGACCCGAGGTCAGGTCACAAGGTCACAAAAACTGGTGCATTGTCAAAATAGCAAGAATACCGAATAAGAATACCTACCTACCACGCAGTTTGCAGAGGGCTGTACATGTAACTCTGGAACGAATCGCTCGAGCATTGCTAACCATAAAACATACGACAAACGTTAACTTTGCAAACTATCATCTTATTTCCAATAACGGCACTGCTTATTTTGCCTCACCCCCCCCCCGTAACAGGTTATGAAATTGGTTGAACCCCAAAACAGTGGCTGGATCCACCCTTGGGCAGGGGAGTAGCGAAAATTTTGCCCACCCAGTGAAAAATCCTTAGAGGAGGCCCTGGTGTGTTCACTAACAGCAACAGCAAAAGTAAGTGACTGCGTGTTTACATGCTTTTGCTGTCAACGTAATTCAACTAAACAAGGTTATCGTTCCAATGCCAATGTATTTATTGCTGCAGAACATGGTCGGAATAATCATTATTTCTACATAATGCACGCAAAAAACGAGCAATTTAAATGTGTGAAGCATCTTAACGTGCCACAATGAAACATTTGATATTGTTCCAGCTCTGGGATCCAAGACGCGTTTGATTCAGCGTTTCACCCAATTTTTAGTTTTCCTCACGGTTTCCTCACTCCTGCTGGACTCCATATCTTTATTCTAACTTCTGGCGTTTCACCATCTTCATCCTCAGCTTTTTCAAACCCTAAATAAGGGGGAAGTAGGAATTTCATCTTTCATACTCAACGCAGCCTAATAATGAAAAACACAAACAAATAATCACAGTGACTATAAATATGGGCATAGTATTAATATAATATTAACACAATATTAAGATTAAAGTGTAAAATATCAAATGAATATAATATTAAACTGTTGCGCCGGTACGGCATGTGGTAAATCTCTTCCCAACCTTGGGCTGTGAAAATGCAGTTTTATTCACCTCGGTTTTTTGCTACGGACCTCGTGCCTACCGGCACTCGGTCCTCCGCACAAAAACCTCGGTGAATAAAACGCATTTTCCCAGCCCCGGTCGGGAATATATATTATCGACGCATATTTTTTTTACAAATAAATGACACAGAGCTTTCAAGTAGTGTTACTGAGAACCTGCAAATAGTTACGTGATTTCACAGACCACGCACAAATACTAATTTGTCAGCTCATACCTGTCGTATTTGCTGGGTACATGTCCGACGTAGAGCATCTCGCTGAGGTCCAGAGAGCGCCACTTTCCGTCCGACTGGCCGTGAATGCTCTCTCCGTCATCAACAATCAGCTGACCGTCCCTGGAGAGAGGATAGAAAACAGCAAAGACGGTTAGATACCGTAGAAGTAGCGCTATTACGGCAATGATGCCCCCCCCCAAAAAAAAATATGACCTCGACTTCTTATAACCCGCGCCCTGCTGGGGGTCCTGGATTTCCACGCCCTGCTGGGGGGGGGGGTGTTTGAACACCCCCCCTTCTAACTCGGCTCCTGGGCCACGTAGCGATACGCGGAAGGCGGTGTTCGAAAGAGCGCCAAAAATAATGAGGAAATCACTTCGGTCAATTTTTTGGTCAGGTCAAAGGTCAGGTCACCAGAGGTCATTGAAGGCAAAATTTCGCCGATTTCCAGGTCGAATGTCGACAATTTCCAAGAAGCCAACGCATAACTCGGGAACCAATAGAGCTACAGCGCCGCGGAAAAGCGCATTCGATAGCCCTATTAACGCCCTTTCTGAATAATGTTCTCAGATTTGACCTAACGTCAAGGGTTTTGCCTGCAGGGGGCAAAAACTGCAAAAATAGCCGATTTTTTCGGAAACAGTTTTTCTGCAATAACTTTTGACCCAAGCCTTGTACGAGCTTACTTTTACCGGCATCGTGTTCCTCTCGTCAAGACGCATCGAATGAACTATAACTTGACCTTGAAAGGTCAACTTGAAAATTTGACCTCAGGTCAAGGTCATGACCTGACCGGAAAGGGTCATGTTACATATCAGTCGATCCGTATCGTTGAGCTGAACACATCTAAGCCGTTTTCATCGCTCTAGCATGCCTCTATCAAAAGTTATTTGCGAAAAACTGTTAGATACCATTCGTGACCTAAGATGACCTCAGGGCATAAACAGGGGTCACGGACACCATTTTCATGTTCAGTGTGTCTAAACCACTTGTAATTCAGTGTTTGGGAGTGTTTATAATGTATTTCGTCCAAAAGAGGCGCATTTCAATTTTCTCCCATTGACTTATAATGGGGAGGTCGCAAAATTGACCTGACCTTAGGTCATCGATATCAAATTCTGAGATATACATTTTGTACATGCTATTGCTCTTAGCAATCGCTGAAAGTTTCAAAGCAATCGGTCACTCGGTGTAGCTATGACAGACATTGAAACTTTTTATGAGGTGAGGTCACTTCAAGTGACCTGGTGACCTGACCTTGAATGACCTTGGTCTGAAATTTTCACAACATGTGTAGAATTGATGTATGATAAGGTGTACCAAAAACGGCGGCGCTCCGCGCCGCCGTTTCTGAGATATTCGCGAAAAACCACAAGGGGGGGGGGTGCGCCGCCGTTTCTGAGATATTCGCGAAAAACCACAAGGGGGGGTGTTCAAACACCCCCCCCCCCAGTAGGGCGCGGGATAATCAGCTTGTGTCATTCAACCGGCGGGAAATCCCATTCCCATTCCCATTCACATTGTATAAGAACTTTCTCCATGGACTTGGGGCTGTTACAGTTTGAAAATGTTTGGTATCGAGCTACAACGAAAACAGTTGAGTTATCACATCATATACGACAGCACAACACAAAAGTCGTAACATTGATGAACATGACGAAGCCGCCAATCAGGCCGTTCATTTCACGGACACGTACCCGTGGTACCGCCGCGCGACCACCTTGTGGTATTCTCCCTGGGAGACTCTCTGCAGAGAGCGGATCACCACCGGACCGTTACCGATGTCGTACCGGAACTCCACGAAACTGAAACACACAGAGATCCGTCACAAAGGTGATAGAATCAGAGGCGGCGGCATTGATATACCATGACGAGGCATACGTGAGACGATATATCAAGATATGTCATGGCAAGTCATATTCTCCACTATAAATGTAAAGGGTCAAGGCAATGGCAATACGGGAATCCCATCCACGTGAAATGGTAATCACTTTTCAATAATTTTGTAATGCATATGTGGATGAACTAGCATATTTGTCAGCATATTATCTCGAGGCCACTGTTTTCAAAGACCGTCACTAAGATAATGAACCAAAAATGTTTGTAGAAGTGAGACTACCAAACAACGTACACAGCTCGACCATCTTTCCCAACTACGAGTACGCACCCATCCACCAGGGCCAGAGCGATGAAGTCTCCGGTGCCGTTTTCCATCTGTTGTCCGTAGAGGAGCAGGCCGTCGGCGGCGTGACTGACAAACTCCAGCTCCAGCTGCAGCTTGATGGTGGCCTTCGGAGCCCTCAACGTCAGGTAGGAGCGGCCAGAGAACGAGGGCTGCTCGTAGTTGTCGCCGTCCGCCGCTGGAGGCGCCACCGTCGGCGGACCGACTGAAACGGAGGCGCCGCTGGTGAGTTGAAGGACACACACATCCAATGAAGGATTGCTAGATCAGAATATGCATGATGTAGCGTTGAGGTGTCTTGTTTAGACAGTTTTGGTATATGTTTCAAGTTGAACTGGCGTTTGTTTCTGATCAATGTCACTGATGGACAAACTTCAAACACGAGTTTATGGCTCGTAGTTCGTCTTACAATAACTTCGTTTCCCGTTCAATGACCTGTAACGACACTGATGCTAATCACCGCTTCCTGTCGTTCCCCTGACCTCTGACCCCATTCCCACTGACCGGGCTCCTGACAGGTGTCCCCTCTCCACTCGGCTGTGCAGAGACAGCTGAAGGTCTCGTGGTCTGTCTCCGATTGTTGGCACACGCCGTCGTGGAGGCAGGGACGGCTCATACAGGGGTTCAGCACCAGACGTGTAACTCCCTCCGTGGTGAGCATGGGCGGCGTCATCGCTGGGGGTGAGAGACAAGTTAGTGGTGGGGATGTTGCATTCAGTGGCGTAAAAATCTGGTGGTCAAATATATTTTTGATATGACGTAGTTAGGACATGTTTAACCGCTCCAAGTGTATGTTTTATCGCTCCAAGTTTCACTCCAATCGCTCCACATCTTGCAACATACTATTTGGCCGCATCAAACGTGTTCAAATGAAACAAAATTGCATCAGGGCGATTGATCGGAATTTGTTAAAAGATTCAAGGCAAGCCATGCATTTTTCAGATCAAACACAGTTTGGCAATTTTATACCACTCTCTACAACTCTCATCATTCGTGCCCCACCTCACTCACCGGTACACTGTTGTCTGTTGGGCGCCTCCTGATAGCCAGTCTGACACTGACACACTCCATCCCGACACTCCGACAGAGTGACACGACACTCCGCGTCCGCTCCGCACGGACTGCCCAGCCAGCCCTGCACCAGAAAATCGTCCCGCGTCGTGGGCCGGCCCGAGTACCAGCCGCTCTCGTACTCCGGTAAAAGGTGCCGGGTAGACTTGGCCGCGGCTGGAGACGACTGCTCGGTGAAGGCAGACTGGAATAGCGTCGATCGCCGGAACGGAATGCCGGTGGGTTCCAGAGAAGTGTCTGTGGAAAGATGAATACGGTTCGTGTATATTTATGGAGCAATAACCAGAAACAAATAGCTCAATGCATTATAAATGAAACGGACAAAGTGATATAAGCTCAGACAGCGGAAGTTGTTCGTGAAAAGTTGAAGACGGCCATTTAAAAGAATGCTGATAACCTTCTAAGACAACATATGAGCAGTAAACGCCCATAGGTCATACGAGACTCGTTCCATAACGAGCTTGAGGAATGCACCCCAAAACATAAAATGTACGATATCCTGACAAAAAAGCAAGCACTAAAGTACATATAGTTAATTACCGCTGTACGACCACGCACCTTTATCAGTGCAGCGTCCGTAGGCCTCGATGGCGATATCTCGCTGTCCGCGGCAGGCAAACAGGCGCAGTTGGCACTCGTTGCGGTACGTCTGGCCGTCAGTACCGCACACCTCCTGCTCCAGTGGGCCCCCCGGCTCGCTCTCCGGCTCGGGGCAGGTCAGGTTACACGAGCACTCGGCGCGGTCGGGAGTCCTCTGAATGCAGGCGGCGCCGAAATAGCAGGCCAGTTCCGAGCAGCTGGCGGCGCTCGTCTTCAGTTCACCTGGGTGAGGGAAGTGAGGGGAAGTGAAGTGAGACCCGTTGGAGGTGAGGGTCAAGAGAGCTGCGAGATAAAGTTTCTTCAGAAAGAGAGTAATATAGAGCGTCGTGGTAGACGCACATTACACAGGGTTTGACCTTCTCAGTTGAACGATATCAACTCACATTTAATAAAACATTGAAAAAATGAAATAATTAGGCATTGCTTCCATTTCAACCCCGAAAACCAACACGAAGGGTTACGACTTAATATTCCACTCGTTACAAGGACATTACCGGAACCTGCACTCCACCTATCACATAAATATAGCGCCCGACTAACTCCCGAGCTCTGAATCTCACACGAACAAAGTTAAACGCCAGACTAGCAGCCGCGGGGACCAGTTGGCCTCTGACCTTTCCCGCAGCCGTGTGGCAGCAGAGTCTGGCCCGGTGGACATTTGTTGCATTTGTTTCCGAACACGTTGGGTTTGCAGACACAGTAGCCCCGGGACTGTTCGCAGTCGTCCCGCGCAGAGCCGAACGCTGAACACCCACAGGCTGTGAAAGGCGGGTGAAGACGGAGTTAGCGCACAGTGGTCAAGAGGACACTGGAGATGTGGTAGTGATAGATTGTACAAGGGATTGAAGATGATTGTTTAATTACTGTAGAAAAGCGACTTCTTTAGACAAATTATCGGAATGGTTCGGGCATAAAGTAGGTAAGGCGTTTGAATTTTAATTTCATCGAAGGCAGTCTCACATCTAACGCCATTTAACTTATCCATTCCCAGGCAACGGCAGGAAGCCATTTGGGTCTGAAATGGCACCCAGCGATCTTTATTTGCCGGTCATTGAGTGTCCATTCATCCCGTCGTTCGTCGGCTTAATTTGCGCTCATTCAGGACATTTCATGGCGAAACACAATCAGCAAGGCAATAGAGAGTCATGTGTAATGGCTTGGACGTCCTCTGAGCCGACATTTTAGAAAGGGCTAAGCTCGCCAGGCCCAGAAAATGTGCAGTCATTTCGTTTAGAGAAGATTACGGAATAGAAAATGGACTGAAATCTTGGTATGATATTGAAAAGCAGTGAATGCGTAACAATGAGTCATAAGAGAAAATTATCACTACACGGATTACGATGCAAATGAGACTTATTCTGCGCATTCTTTTAGTCGCAATACTCCATCAGACTTTGATGATGTCAAGAATATGAAAGGTGAAACCAAAGACCCTTCCTCGTATGCGCGCAGAGATGATGAAAAACGCACCCGAGATTTCAAGAATATGACAAGAAACGTTGATCCTAACCGTAGCGTTTACATAAGACAAAACAGGCTAATATTGAGTATCCATGACAGATTGGATAATGATGTAAATAATAAACCAATTAATACAAATCAAATATATTCAAAATAAACAAAGCTTTCGGATTAAACAGCCTTGATCACTGTGAGTTGTGGCCATAGGCGTCGCCAGAGATTGTCGGTTGGGGGGCAAAATCAACTTTTGTGTCAAAGCTTGCCTTTCCCCAGTCTTTACTCACTCGTTTTACATATCATTCGACGCGCAATGGTGCGAGGAATCCGATGGTGACAAAGGTTTCCTTCTAGCTATGACATGTAATTTTTTTACAGAAAAATTCGAAATTTTGAACTTTCATAACAAAACGACTGGTAGAATTATAGTGGCTGCGATTGCCGACGCACTGCAGAGGGCCCCTGTGCAGACGCTCGACGCTCATGATCATTACCCATTAAGAGGTGAAAAACGCTCCATTTAATCGGATCACCCTGCTAGAACCTCCATTCACGCATGCATGCAGAGGTTTTACGTGAAATGCATAGGACTTATCCCAGCCGCCGATCGTAGCTAAGTTGGGCATTCGGCGGAGAGTGAATGTCGGAAGTGTGAATCGGAATTCGGAAGTAATTCATCTTTGCTTCAGTGAGATGAAGTGTTTTGTTCACTCGAGTGTGAACAAAAGTTTCTCGTTTTTCGTGTGAAGGGAAGCGCTGCAAACGCGAACAAAAACTGTTAAACGGAACCAAAAGTAACGCACGGCATAGCGGCAAGGGATCCCGTAGAGATAGGTTTGTGACTTCCAGGCCATTTCAGGCCACTCAGGGTCAGTACTGACTCTCAGGAGCCTGCTTAGGATCCCGGAGATCGACGTGGGTCACCTCAAATATTTACGTGTACGTGGTGCTTTAGGGCTTTCCGAGCCCAAGGTAGGGCCCTCAGAAGCAGTGTGGGCGGCGGGCGCTAAGAGACTAGGCCCAGGGTGAGCCTGGAGCCCTCGGATAGCAGTGTGAACCCTCGGGGTCTGTGTCGAATCCCTAAGAACCGTACGTAGGGACATAATAAACATGTGTTGCGGACCTCAGAGGGACACGTGGGCTGTGACCCCTCAGATGCCGGCTTGGGGTTGGCAAAGTCTGTCGCCTCAAAAATTTGGCTGAACTATCAGAGGCCAGAAATCTATCAGAGGTCAAAAAAAAGGTTCTCAGAAATGTTCGAAGGCTCAAAGATCCCTGTATGGGCCCTCAGAGAACATGAACACCAGTGGGACTTTCAGAGGCCGGTTTGGGCCCTCTGAAAGCTTCTTTAGGGCTCACTGGAGCTCCTTAGGAGCCTTTGTTTAAAGCAAGCTCATGAGCCCTGCGACACTTGTACGGTAGGTACTTGAGCCTGTCGCAGACATTTGACGAGTTGAGAAAGGCCCCGAAGATTTCGTTTCACGCTTTGAACAAAAATTGTGTCAGCACTCCAAAACTTATGAAAATCAGCTGTAAAATGTAATAAAGAACGAACTAGGAACATGTAATGAATCACAGCATTAACATTTCCGAGTCTGGACTCGGAGTCTTGAAGATTTTGGCGACTGCGAGTCAGACTCTGGTTTGAACTGCACGCTCAAACCGAGTCTGACCTCACAGGCATTCTCAGAAAGGTACCCCCATTTTTTCCCGACTCCAAAATCTCATCGGATCTGTATCGATGTCAGGGGGTGCCCGGTCAGAGGTTGGGGGGGCAAGTTGCCCCGCTTGCCCCCCCCCCCGTGGCGACGCTAATGGTTGTGGCAATGTATAATCGGTACAACACAAATATTCGCAGTAACCGTCTAAGAATTCTTGAAAATAATGAATCGTTACGGTCCAAACTCCATAGACAAGCGGACATACGGTTTTACAAGAGTTAGGCGACGAAATACTCAGCTTAATTATTCAGTAATGGGCACCATTAGGTAGGCCATACAATTTTCTGTAGTACCGCATAGTCGCTGCAGTCAAAGGTGTTCTGGTTTTTATGCTATATGCCAAAGAATTTTTGCGTGTAATCACCGGTGACACGACATATTTCTGCTTTATTGGGTTGGGCGGTGAAGTCAATGACGTGATCACAATGAAAATGGCTTAATTTTGTAGAACATTGAATTCTGATTCCGGCACGACTCTCGCTAGTCCATTTTTTATTATAAATAAACCATTAATTGCGGTACAAAGTCAAAACTAGCCCGAAACGGCGCCCGCAGCGGCCGTTAGCACAGCGGCCTTATGGTAAACAGGTTAGTTCACATTCCCGCCGCTATGCGAGTGGCGGCGGCGCCACCTGTCCTCATGTCCGCCTTGGACCGTAACGTCACGTGTTTCTTGTTTTACTGGCCAAAATCGACAGTTGGCCAGTAAAACAAGAAACACGTGATTCATTATTTTCAAGAATTCTTAGACGGTTACTGCGAATGTTTGTGTTGTACCGATTATACATTGCCACAACTCACAGTGATCAAGGCTGTTTAAGCCGAAAGCTTTGTGTATTTTGAATATATTTGATTTGTATTAATTGGTTTATATATTACTGACCGGGCCGACGAAATTATTTGGAAACGAGGTTTGCAAAATTGACGTAGGCCCGAGTGCGAAGCACGAGGGCCGGAGTCAAATTTTGCAAACCGAGTTTCCAAATAATTTCGTACGGCTGAGGTCAGTAAGATTTTTCCTACATGCCGCATACCTGCTAAGTAGTTTCGACAGGTTTTGGTGATACTCTTATACAATTGTTTTGTCCATAATTTCCTAACAGTGATTGCGCTACTGCTGTGGATAAAGCTTTAAAGGAAATTTATAGAAGAAAATGCGCTGTTTTAGAGTCATATTTTTCCCAGGTTTATGTTTGTATGATATAAAACTTTATCGGAATTCACTGGGATTGTATTGCGTATGCAAGTCCAAATATTTCGGCCAATATTGTTTGGCCTTGGTCACTGGACAACTACAATAAATAGCCAATAAATAGCCAGGCTATTTATTGTAGTTGTCCAGTGACCAAGGCCAAACAATATTGGCCGAAATATTTGGACTTGCATACGCAATACAATCCCAGTGAATTCCGATAAAGTTTTATATCATACAAGAAGAAAATGCATCAAAACACCTTACTTCAAAAAGAATCGCGTCTGAAAATATCAACTCAGAAGGGCAGAACAACTACTGGATAATAATGGATATCCAAGGAGCATAATACATGAATAATTTGCCACGACATAAGAACAAGAAGAAGGTATAGGTATAATATTCCTAGTGATTAAACGTGAATTTTCCAGTGCTCTTGCAAGAATCTTTTCTTTATTTATGTAATCGTTCTTTGTTGATGCCTTATGGCTAAAATTTCGTGAAATATATTATATTTTCCATATTTTACGTGTTTGTTTCGAGGAAAGGACTACGACTGTCAAATGATAACGCAATAACTTACCAAGGTATCAGTGGACATATCAAACGAACATAAGACAACAAGCGATAACGGATTTCGATTCATAGGCGCATATCTTAACAGAATTTCGGCTTTGTAACCAATACAAAATATTTCAAAACCCTTGATAAGCAGAGCAGATATTTTTTACCAAAAAAATGTTAGTTTTCTAATTTTACGCGGCAAATATCATGCAAAAATGATGTCAATTATACCTACATTCCCTGTCAATAGCCGCGTTTACATAGGGCTAGTTGCCAGATAGTGGAATTCCACTAACGAGACATTTTTTCCACTAACGAGACATTTCAGGCACCTTCAGATAATTCTGACGACCTATCCGGCCAGAAGGACCAAACCGATTGACAAAAATAAATACATCGTGGCGGATGAATACTACCGAGGTATTTCAGGCCTAGACATAGTATAGATGTCGCAACTCGCGGCCTTCCCGGCAGTAAGGGCGAGGTATAGATGACGCTTCTGCAGCAAGTCACTGGAACGTGCGAGTCGTGGAATGGAACGGAAGATACGGAACGGGGGCTTCTTAACGGAAGCTTATTCGTTTTATTTTCATTTAAGAATTGATTTCGTGCGCTAGGGAAAGAACATTGTCTTCTTTTTTCTTACGTCTGCACCCCCCCCCCCGTCCCTTCCATCCTTTGGATCAGCCAGTGTGCAGCAAGAGGGTTCATCGGAGAAAAACAACAAAGAGCAATCCTCCCTGAGCCTGTCAGGTCAGAAATAACCTGAGCATAGGCGGCGGAATGGGGAGGGCACCGGGGCACCGTGCCCCCCTTTGATTTTGGCATTTTAACATTAGCCCTATGGGCGCTGCATGGAAAGAATGGGACCAAAAGTCGGCGGTGCCCCCCCCCCTTAATTGAAGGTGCTCCGCGGCTACTGAACCTGATGACCGTTCGTTATGCCCTACTGCCCACGCTTCTTAAAATTTCAGTAGTAGTCAGTTATCTGGCCAATGTTTCCGTATAGTGGTTGGCAAACACAACTGAGCCTCGTGAGTGGGATGAGTACTGGACACAGAAGTGGACAATCTGTTGGCAAGGAGCCCGCAAGGATAATATCTCGAAACTCAGGACTACGTATACAAACACTTTAAAAGCATCCAAATCTATACTATAATCGAAAGCCGCATTGTTGTGAACTACCGGCACGTGCGTCCAATCACCATCAAGAACGGAAGTCCGACCTACAGCAAGCACGACAGTCCGATCATAGATGTATTGAAAAATAACTAGCAACTTTAAACATCGCCTTCCTCAGCCACGCTCTACACCGCATCACATAAGAAAACCGCCAATATCGATTACAAAACACACATAAAGGAATTTCGTAGGTAGAGATCAGAGGAATACTTCACCTCCTTTATCTGGCGCGTCAATAGGTATAAAGTAATCTTTGGCGTCTACGCACTAGCAACATCTATAATGCAAACAGCAGTTCAGAAACCATCCACTAAAATTGCAACAAGGCAAGGGTTGGTCAAAATAAATTATAGTCACCGTGATAAATAGCAAACGAAATACAGAACAAGCAAGCACAACAAAGCATTCCACACTCGTTTAGACTGTACCTACAATATGCCTACATAAGACATTGCAGCAGTGTACAAGGGAAACATTCTTTAAAGATGCTAACGTGAGGAGTTTTACAAGTTTGGTGAACATAGTTACGAGTCACTGCACAAGAAATGTCGCGGTCGCCAGCCGGCCCAGGCGAAAGAGTCGACGGAGACGGCGTCAAACAAACCCGAGAGGGGGTAGTTTCATCCGCATCAGCGGAGGCGCTCTCTCTGTTAAGGTCGTCAGTTACCAGCCGCAGCACCCTGCTGGCGATTTGATAGCTGCTCTCATTCTCAGCTGGCTGAGCGCCATGTGCCGGGTCATCCGGCTCCATGATTTCCCCTTTCATTAGCAGCTGCTGTTGTAGTTATTGTTGTTGCGTTCCTTTCAGCTGCTGCCGCAGCATAGCCGTACGGTTCTGGATGGTTCTCACGGCGGCAGCCAGGGTCACCAAATCCGTCTCCCCGTAGCCACACCAGACTCGGGAAAATGTACCGAGATGTACCGAGCCAATGTTGCAGCACTCGCGGCATTCATCGGTAGGACTCCGCCCAACCCAATGTCGGCACTGGCAGGAGCCCGACCAGTGGTCCAAACGAAACTGATGAAAATCGACAGCTGATGAGCGGTCCTCCACTGACGCCGGACGGGTGGCGACGGCGCGGCCGGTCCTGGAGCTGGAACAGCAGAATGGACCGGTCGGGACACGCGGCTCATCAGTCCATTCGTCCTGCTACTCCCCGTAGACTCCAGCTCCTTCGCTGCAGGTTCTCGCGTCTGCCGACCGGTCCGTCCACACCCACGCGGCTCGATAGGGGAGGGGAGGGCAGATATCATTACGTCGCTTGAAGCAGTTCAGCTGCCGAGGCTCTTTGTCGCAACGCCGCCAGCGCCACGCATCGCAGCAGCACATACCGTGGAGTGCCAGCCTCTTCGCGGCAGACGCGGCATCGGGCAGCAGGGCACTCCACGTCGTTGAATTGTGGGCATCCGGCCTCGGGAGGCGGCCGATGCAGAGCAGGTACTGGCGGATGTCGATAACGACTGCACGGTCGGCCTCCAGGACGGAGCCAGGACAGCGGTCGACCCATATCGACCGGTACCATCCGTCCGGCCAGCTCCGCTGCCAGGCGCGCGCAGCGTCGCGCGCGCGCCTGCCTTGCAGATAGTGCCCACGTCAATCGGCGCTACCGTTGGGATAGACGGCGGTCGACCCATATCGACCGGTACCATCCGTCCGGCCAGCTCCTCCAACACCGCTCTTAGGGCGAATAGCTCGCCGCGCGTGCTAGAGCAGAGGGCGCCTGCCGCGACACGCACCTCTCGGATGTCGCAGTTCGGGGGGGGGGGGTGGCCCCTCCTCCTCCATCTAGCACACCATCGGTGGCGGAGCTGTCTGACCAGATCAAGCTCGCCTCAGACGGGAGCTCCGCCAGACGACTTTCCGCCGCCTTGGCTCGCCAGCCGTCGCGCCCAAACTCGCTTCAGGCCGTGAGTCTATAGCCGGCGCGGTGGCGTGGCTTCGCCATGGTAGCCTTGGGCGGGTTGTCCTCAGAGAACGCATTCGCATTGGCGAGGAGGCGAGCAGCGCCACGAGTCCTGAAAAGACCAAACAATATCAATAGACAATCAAAACTGTAAAAATTGGCATTAACTGCGTAACTGATGTTTGCTTGTTTGTCTATTAGGGTTTACGGGCGCTGCGGTGGTCATTTTGCGCCCATGAAGCTGTTCTGGTGAACCTGCGCAACTGAGCAGTGATCATGCTATAACTTATGTTTGGCGTAGTACCAGGGTTCCACCTAAAATTTCGGCGCACGTCAGGTGTAACGTCACATGCGACAAATTCAGCGCATGTCAGTTGGGCAAACTAAGGCTGATGGAATAATATAAAACGAGGGCACCAAAAATTGATCCTAAATGACCATACTTGGACATTAATGCAGATCCTCTCTGTATCACCAATTGTCAGAAAACAAGCGGTTTCAAGGAGCGTTAGAGAGTCATGAAGCCAGGATAAAACACAGTGCTATTTTCTAAAAACAGTTTTTACATGATAGAGTTAGGCAACTCTCTCTCTCTCTCTCTCTCTCTCTCTCTCTCTCTCTCTCTCTCTCTCTCTCTCTCTCTCTCTCTCTCTCTCTCTCTCTCTCTCCGTTTACCATTCGCAAGGCCAAAAAGGCCAATTGGTTTTGAAAGACATTGGATTACAAGCTGAGCATTTTTTACTTTATCATAAAATGTTAAACCTGCGTGCAGATAAAGTCTGAACGGTGGTTTGTAGGCTGATAGGTTGGAGGTTGAAGGTTAGTAGGGAAGGTAAGGTCAGGATAATTTCTGCTTTTTATTTTCATTGGACTTCAGTCTTCATCAACACACGCATCAAAAATATCATCTATTTGACCATCTTCAAGCCTCAATATACAAGTTGTACCACAATAAATTAAAAATTGATGTCATGCCAACATATGGTCATGATTTTTACCACCAGAATTGAATCAAATGCCTATTGATGCTTTACCTAATATTTTGAAGCCTGAAATCTGATTAACCAAACATTTTTTCTTGTGTTGGCAGTCTAAAATTTGGCTGGCTTGAGCGCGATGCTATTGCTCTAGCAGAATCTCAAACGGATGTCTACCAAGTGCCACTCCCAAGAAAGTTTTTCAAGATTCTAAAACCACAAACTTTGTTGCTGCCTGATCGTGTGATGGTAAATCAAATGATAGCACTCCGTCTGAGGCCAGTTTTACAAACAGAAAATAGCCACCTGCCAGATTATTTTGCCTAAAGGCTAATTCAGTAATTCACATATGGAGTGTAGGTAAATGGTGAAGCCCTCACTGCTTACATGCCTATCGCGTTTACCCTCTGTATGTTGTACCTACGTGGAATGGATATATGAGGAGAAAAATTCCAGGCAGCTATTTTTGTTGGTAAATCGGGTAAAGTAAAACTGGCCTCTGAACGAAAATTTGGACTGAGTGAGATGTCGGCTCTTTGGTGGTTTGGATAGGAGTTGATGATTTTAATTGAAAGATTAAAAGGAAAGGGTTTCAAGACAATCGGCATGACAAACCAACACCTTACCTGCAGTTCAAGTTTGTCGATTTCTTCATCAAAATCTAGTCTTCGTCTAGTCCACAAATCAAGATAAAATTACTGGATAGGTACAACTTCTTCTTCTTCTTCTTCTTCTTCTTCTGCACCTCACCTGCCACCCCCTACACTTCTACCTTATTCTGATAAATATCTTTACATAATTTTCACAAGAATGCCACTCAACGGGGTAGATCTAAAAGAGTGCAGGGCTTCAGTTTTGAGCTACAGAGTTCTCAGTGATTTTGAGACACCCAATATGTCTTTGGCACGCCGTATTTGTCTCTCACCGCTTGCGAATTCGGCGATATGATTGGTCGAAGGCCGAGGCTATGGGTCCAAGAAAAGGCCAAGATTCCTGCCAAGATTCTTACAGATAGCCAAGGCCGATGACTGACGTGACTGACGGCATGTTACTGCCCTTGGCATATTGCCAATGCACTGCTCCGTCATATCGGCAGTGATGTCAACAGTCATATCGGAAGTAATATGGTAGCTATACGCAAAAACCATTTGGTGTATGGCTACCATACTTTTCCGATAACGAGACATTCTAGATCAATCTCTCTACTGTTGGCGACATCTGCTGAGAAATCCCAAGACCGAACGCAAGCACATAAAAGTAATGCACTCTAAGGATGCGTTCGAAATCTGGGAAGTGACGGATTTCATTCCTCAATGCGTGTCCCAGCGTTCCCCATGCTGTTTGTTCCGCCATCTATTGCCATGTTTCGCATTCGCACTTCATGAATTCACCACCCCGCCAAGTAGGTTGGTATCAAGTTGGTATAGGTGTCGCATTGCTCTGGTCGATTAGGCTGAGCCAGCTGTCTGGAGAGTGGAGCCGATCCAAAAAAACGCAGAAATTCAAAACACCGACTCCAAAGCAATGGCAATTGGCAGCATGCATATCATTAGAGCGTAATTCTGTCGTGATTGCGTCAGAAGCAAACATAATGGCAAGAGTTTCTTGTGTGTCGGTAGGCGCGTGTGGAGTCGCTGGACCGACCGGGGACGTACCCAAGGGGGGACGGACGGGGTGCGCCTCCCCCCTAGGGGTTTTCAGGGCCGGCCCATGCTGGCAGCCGCAGAAGGCCAACGTTGGCCAAAATCACGTCGGAGACGAACGAAATTCATGGGAATCCCCCAAAAAATCACGTCAGGACTCAGGACAATCAAGGCTCTCCGACTCGCCTGCCACCTAGGGCCCTTCAATTTACTGCGTTGGGCCTCCTGTGAATAACCGCTAGTGTCTGTGTCTGACCACTAGGACCCTGGACCCCTCTGACTCCTCGGGTAGAGGGCCCTCTGTAGGTAGGAGGCTCTCTCTACGGGATTCCTCCGCTCCCCCCCTCGGCCAAATTCTAGGTTATACGTGCCTGCGCTAAGCCGGGGTCGGAGAGAGGAGTTGACGACCGAATGACAAGGAGTACTCGTCCTGAAAGTAAACATTTGGAATATAAACAATCCAAAGCTGTTCAGTATTTATATCATTCGAGAGCAGTGCCTTCAATTTGGATACACTTAGCATTCATTTCCCACACCCGTGTACACTCCACGAAGGCTTCTCCGCTGCGGACTCCCGCTTCCGCCGATGCGTCAGTTCTGTTATGGTCGGTAGTGGCGATTAACACGGCGATATCCTTGGAGCGACACAGGACGACCGAAACACGATGGCGGCGACCATGGAACTGTTTATTTTTTATGTGCTTCCATATGACCGGGGGGTGAGACCAATTGAAGGGAAAGGAAAACGTGCCCCATCACAACACCCCCCCCCCCCTCAAGACGCATGCGTCGGTACAAGATACGCATTGCGTCTAACACATAAACAAAAATGTACACCACACACGGTGTGGACGCACGAACTCAGTCGTACGTCTGGTCCGCCCAGCGCACGGTCAGTCGGGCCGGACGGCGACGGCGGCGCGTCCCACGGCGCACTGAGCTGGGGTCGTCGGCGCTGTTCCGCAGCACCGGTGGTGCCGGCTGTCCGCCCGCCGGCGCAGCGGCGGCGGTCTCCTCCGTGCCGTCGGGTGCCGAGCTCGGAGCGAGCTGCTGCCGGCGCCCGGGTGCAGGTGTGGCGGCGCCCTCCGAGATGAGAGATCTCTGGGGTCGCAGATAGCGCTGGTTCCGCCAGTAGACTCGGCCACTGGGCAGCCGGACCAGGTAGTCGCGCCGCTGTCCGACCGCCGTGATGACGCCGACGCGGTCCCACAGCCCCGACCGCGGGTCTTGGACGAGCACACGCTGACCCATGGTGAGCGCGCTGTGCTGGCGGGCTGTCGTGTCGTACCGCTCGGCTGTTTCCTGTTGCTGCGCGGCGGCCCTGGCGTCACAGTCGTCCGCCGCCCGCTGCCAGCAGTCGGCGAAGGCCCGGTGGTGCGCCGGCACTGCCGATCTCAGCGGGTGGCCGAACAGGACCTGAGCCGGAGAACGGCCGTCGGCGCGCGGCGTGTTGCGCAGCTCCAGCAGCCCCTGCGCGTAGGCGTCCGTGTCGAGCTCGCCGCTGCTGGTCGCCTTCTGGATGAGCCGTTTGGCGGCCTTGACCGCCGACTCGGCGTGCCCATTAGACTGAGGGTAGTGCGGTGTAGAGATCTGGTGCTCCACTCCCCAGCGGCGCAGAAACTCTCGGGTGAGCCGGGCGGTGAACTGGTGTCCACCGTCTGTCCGGAGGGTGGTGGGCACGCCGGTGGCCGCGAATATCTGGCGCAGGCTGCAGACCAGGTCTCTGGCAGTCGCCTCGCCGGCCACGTGCGACACAAACGGCCACCCGGACAGCCGGTCCGCGTATACCAGGAACGTGCGGCCGGCCCAGGCGAAGTAGTCAGCGGAGACAGCCTCAAACACTCGTGATGGCGTCTTTTCCGGCATCAGCGGCTCCTTCTGCTGACTGGGCAGGTACTGCTGGCAGGCCGGGCACGCTCCGACATGGTTCGCAATGTCACTGTCCAGGAACGGCCAGTAGACTACCTGCCGCGCGCGGCGTTTGGTGCGCTCGACGCCCTGGTGACTGGCGTGCAGGCGCTCGAGCGTGGCGCGCCGCAGACTGGGCGGTATCACGAGCCGCTGGCCGCACACCACCAGGCCGTCGTCCACGGCCAGCCGGTCCCGAACTCCCCAGTACGGTCGGAGGCGCGGGTCCAGCTGTGACCGGTGCTCTGGAAACCCGTTCAGGATCAGGTCAGTGAGTGCGATGAGCTCCGGATCGGCGGCGGCGGCGGCGCGCACCTCTGTCAGCGCCGCGTCTTTGAACGGGCTGGGACCGTCGTCCGCCCCGTCGGTGGCCAGCCGTGAGAGCACGCTGGCGAGCTGATGGCTGGCGTCCCTCTCGGCTTCCTCGTCCTCAGGCGCCGGGTCATCCACCGGCGCGCGCGACAGCGCGTCCGGGATGGCGTGCAGCTTGCCTTGCCGCCAGATGGCGAGCAGGTTGAACGGCGCCAGCCGTTCTCGTAGCCGCTGGAGCCGCGGATTTTCGATCTCCGCAAGGCTCTTACTGTTGAGGATCGGGATGAGCGGCCGGTGATCGGTCAGGACTTCAAACCGCTGCATCCCGCCGAGATAGATGCTGCATTTCTTGCAGGCCCAGGCCAGGGCCAGCAGCTCCAACTCGATCACGGCGTACCGCGACTCGGCGTCCGATAGGAAGCGTGAGCCGCACTGGATCAGTCGCTACCGGCCTGCGGCGTCTTGCTGCAGCAGGCAGTAGCCCAGGCCGCCGGAGCGAGCGGCGTCAGTCTCAAGGACTGTGCGGCGGCGAGGGTCGAAGAAGTCGAGCACGGGAGGCGACGTGAGTGCCATCTTCACCGCGCTGAACGCCCGCTCGTGCGCTGGCGTCCACAGCCACGCGTTCCGCGGCCGCAGCAGCTGTCTCAGCGGCTAGGCGGCGGCGGCGACCTCTGGGGAGAAGGCGCCGAGCTGGGTCACCAGGCCGAGGAACGACCGTAGGTCGGTGATGTTGCCCGGCCTGGGGAAGGCCTGGATGGCACGGACTTTCTTGCCGTCGGCGGTATAGCCAGCCGAATTGATGCGAAAGCCGCAGAATTCGACCTCGTCTTCCGCGAACTGACATTTGTCCGGGTTGAGTGTGATACCGTGCTGGTCACACCTTAGCAGAATCTGCCGCACGTGCTGCAGGTGGGCGGCGTAGTCAGCGTCATAGGCCAGGACGTCGTCCACGACCCTACACGTGCGCGGGATGTCGCCGAGCGCGGCGTCACCGCGCTGGTTGTACACGTCGCCAGAGCTGACGATTCCCATTGGAGCCCTCAGGTACCGGTAGCGGCCCCACGGCGTGATAAAACACGTCAGGTCTCGTCTCTGTCTTCTGGCCGGATGGGGACCTGGTGGTACCCCGCCTTGCTGTCCAGCTTGGTGAAGTACGCAGCGCCGGGTGAGACGAAGGCGAGTGCGTCTTGAGGCGAGCGGACCGGGTACGTCGGTCGCTTCACGAACCGGTTCAGTTTCGTGAAGTCCACGGTCAGCCGACAGCCGGACACTGTGCCGTCTGACGACCCCTTGGCCACAGGAACGATCGGATGACACCAGTCTGTGGGGTGCTCCACCGGCTCGATGATGTCCTTTTCCATCAGCTCGTCGAGTTGCAGTCGCACGTCCTCTCGCCAACAGAACGGGATATTCCGGGCGGTGGTCACAGCGTGAGGGACGGCGTCGTCCGTCAGCTCGATCTTCATCGGCTCCCCCGTCATCTTCCGCAGGGTCGACTCCGTATCGAAGACCCTCGGGAACTCGGCTTTCAATTTGTCGAAATCTGCCCGCCGCTGCCGTGCGGAGGGGGTGCCACCGGGGGCCGGGCGGCGGCGCGCGCGTAGGGCCGGGCGGCGGCGCCCGCCCGGTCGGGTCGGCGCCGGCCGAGCTGGCGGCCGGCCGGTCGGCGGCAGAGACGCGGCTTATGTCCCGGGTCTCCTCAGGTGCCGCCGTCGTGCCGCTGCAGCGCCGTAGTGCGGGCTGTCTGCCGGCGGCGGGGGCCTCAGGCGGCTCGCCGGGCGGCGGCGGCTCCGGTGCCCCACCGTCCGTCCCAGTCTCGGCTGCCGAGCCGCGCTGGCAAATCTGCCGGGGAAAGCTCGCCGGTAGAATTCCCAGGCCGATACAATCGTGCCACGACAGCAGTGGTGAGTGCAGTGCTCGCAGAACGGACACCTGCACGGTCTGTATGACGTCACCGAGCTGCAGGATGAGGGCGCACGTGCCCACACAGTCCAGCCGGCGGCTGTCGGCGGCCCACAGCACAGCCGTGGAGGGCGTGAGGTCCGCTCTGCTCACTCCCATGGACTCGGCTTGTTGCAGTGAGAGGGCTGATATCTCGGCGCCTGTGTCGGGCGTCCATACGGTCGTCCGCCTGACTCCGTTTGGCAGGTGCAGCTGTAGCCGGACCTGCGGCGACCGGTGGGCCGTCACACTGTTGAGGCGCGCGCCCGGCGTCCGGGCTGCCGGCGGCGCTGGCTGCTGCCGGTTCCCCGTGTCTCTCGTGGTTGCATTCGCTGCCAGCACCGAAACCTGCCGGTGCGACGCGTCGGCAGCCGTGCTGACACGGCGGCGGCTGATTGCGCTACGGTGGCGCCGGCCCCTCCCCTGGCGGCTGCTGCTCGCGCTACGGAAGCGCCAGTCCTGTCCCTGGTGTCTGCGCTCGGAACTAGGCGTCTGCCGGCGCCGCTCTTCAGTGCCCGCGGCATGCCGGCAGACCGAGGAAAAGTGGTCCCGTTCGTGGCCATCGGTGGCAGGTGCGACCCAGGGCGGGGCAGGCACGACCGTCCGTGTGCTGCGCGGCACCGCAGCGGTCACACCGCCGGGTCTGGTCGGCCGAGCGCGAGTCCGCGCCGCTCGGCCGACCGCGCTGTCGCCGGTACTCGGAGAGCCGGCGCAGAGACGGCTCGCCCGGGCCACGGATCGCCGAGCTGTTGAGACGG